TTAAGTTTGGTTCAAAATATTTTAAATAAACATAATTTCTGATTTTCTTAAAATAAGTTTTGAAAAAATGATAATTGATATTTAAAAAATTTCAAATTCAGATTTCCATTTATTTTAAAATGGAAAAAAATGGTCAATTTTGCTGACTCAAAAAAAACTAGATTTTTTACTTAAAATTTCGGACATGCTAGGAACGATTAAAAATGGAAAAAAATACCCCAAAAAATACTTTGACCTTTCTTCTTAATAATAACAAACGTTTAGACGATAAAATTTTGTTTTCATCAAGTTTGGCGTCTTTTTCATCATGCTATGCTCTTTTTTTAGCGATCTCGTGGAGGTACCTACCCTAACATATACTATTTATAAAAGCCATTAAAAGCTTTTCTAATTTAATAATATCTTAGTTTTATTGGATTTTGTATGTTACAATTCAGAGCTGATTTTTGGTAACACTGGGTATTCGATTTTACAAAAAAAAATTGATTTGTATTCAAAATTTTCTGCTTTTAACTAATGTAGTCTATAAAAGAAACTGAATTGAATTTCTCGAGTTTTGATAAAATTAAGGGAGAAGGGGGTAACAGATGTTAAAAAAAATGTCTAAAATAATTTCATTCATTTGTGAATAAGTTATGAAAGTTTCATTAAAATCTGACAATTATTTGATTTTTGCAAGAATTTTTAAAACAATGTGTTTTTAACACCAAAAAAAAAAAAAAAATGCTAAATTTCCTAATACTGATCTTTGGTGGACCTCTTGTTACATAAAAAAAAAAAAAAATTTAAACAAAATGCTAGAGAGGATGCAAATTTTTTTTTTTTTTTTTTTTTCAAATTACTGGAGATAACTACTTTCCAGCATTACTAGACCTAATGGCTGCTGGAGAAGCCAATATATATTATTAACCAATGTTTTATTCTATTAGGTCCTGTGTCTCTTGGAAGTCTAATGTTGAATTTCTGAGCCTTAAACCTTATATCTGTAATCAAGTAGTGGAATTACTTTTGAATAGTTTCTTTGTTGACCAGATTCCCCCAAGTGGTATTCATTTCTGTTAGGCCTATTGAGAAAGTTGTCAATGCCTAATGAAGAAGTTTTCAATGCCTAATATGTGTGCCAATTATTTCAGCCATCTTCTCCTTCAATGTTGACTTAATTCCACAAGGTTTGATATCGCCCCCCTTCATATAGGATCAGCCATGTCTGATTTCAATGTCTCTTCTCAAAAAATCACATTTTGATGTTCTTCCATCCTTACTTTTAGTGGGGAAGCTAGTCTGTAATTTATCTTATCTGATTATGTTACACCTTTCTGCTTGGCAGCAGACATTTGCTGTTAAATTCCCAATCCAAGCAGTATAAACAATTTTATCTGCTTCTTGGCTTTGACAAGTGAAAGCAAAATTAGAGAACTAGCTTGAGCAGATATTTAGAAGTTAATAATATCAGATAATACTCATGAATCGATTGAGCAGTTTATTTTACTGTTACACTGTTGATTAAATATTAATTTGACATTTTTGTATTTCATATTGATGCTGGGCGAGCTTTCTACACACTAGCTCAATAGTTAGCAAGCTGATCTTGCAGATCATTAATTAGTGTAATACTTAAAAAAACTAAATGCCCTCTAATATAGTTGTCATAAATTTTGAGAAGAATCATTAATATTCCAAATTTTCTTCAGGCAATTGCACTCTCTTTGTGTTCTTCATGTTAACATAATGTTTCTGCTGATCTATTCTTTGAAGAGTTCTGAAAATATTTGGATTCTATTTACAATTGTTTTATTACTAGATTTACTCAATTTTATTACTGTTTGATACTTGCATTATCTTAAAAATTGTAGTTTTGCTAATGCTTTAACCTGTGTGATCACCTTGAAGTTAAATCTTCTTTTATAATCATGGTAAACTGTAAAATTATCAGTTGTATGAAATATATATATAATTTTTTTTAATGTCCCAAAAAGTAATGGGTAATCATTTAAACATATTCAGGAAGAGAAGTTAATTGGTTTATGCTATCCTGCTTGCCATAGCATAATCTTCAATAAATATGCTCTCATTGGAAAAATCAGATTATCAATTAACTCATACTGGAATGAGTGTAATGCTATTTTAGAATTATGATCTGATAGTAGCAGCTAATCAAGTGAGTATTTATTAGTTCAGATTTTTTTCATAAATACAGTTTCATTTAAAATTTATCTATTGTTGGTTAACCTAAAAATTTATCAATTCATTGTCATATTTAATTGTATTTTTCTATATGAAACTATTGGACATATAAGATGTTACTCAAAAATTTACATAAATCACTTTGACAAAAGTAACTCATAAGTCTGTCCAAAAAGCCAAGAGCCAAATTTTTTTCTTCCAAGAAATCAATTATTTTAAATCAGGAGTATCTAATAAGACTTGAGTATTTGCACTTTTAATCTCTCCCCCATGTAAATCGGTGAAAATCTATTATATGAAATTGACAATAGAATTCTCTCAGGATGTTTGAAATATTAAAATATTTGTCAAATGACTTGCTTAGCTTGTAATTGTACCACAGATGAAGTCACTTATCGTTTTGGGATAAGTTCTTTTAGATAACATTAAGCAGAGGATGTAAAAATTAGAACAATTTACATTCATTAGATTATTAAATTCATTGTTATAAACAATTTCACAAAAATAAAATATACTTTTTCTGAAACTTTATTTGATGAAGATTAGCTAATTTTAAAGTTTAATCAATTTGATTTGAAACAAATATTACTTTTAGTTTAAGATATCACAAAAAAGCATTTTTTACATGGAAGTGAGTGTTTTTATGAGGTATTGACAGCCTGACATTTGGGAAATTTAATTTTTTCTACAGGGGACATAACTTGTAAAAATTACTGGATGTCTATAATGTGAGCACCTTTTTTATATAACTTTTTTAACTACGCAGTAACCTTAAAAATTTATGAAAATATTCTAAGTAATCTTATGTTTTATTGAATTTTTAGTTACTTTGGTTTTAAATTTACTATAGTTACTATTATTTTTTGATAATGTCACGTATAGATGACTATATTATAAAAATCAGCATGTTTATATATTCTACCTTAATTTTATATATATATGTATGTTTGTTTATCATGACAAAAGTTAGTGAGAAACATTGATTATTTACACAATTTATGTTAGGACTATTGTCCTCATCTTTGTTATGTTTCAGCCATTGTGTCTTCATCAGATGTATGTCAATCTGATTAACTTACAGAGAATTCAGATCTGAACCCATTATTTAATCTATGAGGGTAGGCTTCTTATTTCACTACCTAAGTCTAGGGATGTTAACTGGTTCTTATTTTTAGTACTGCTTGCCCGTTTCTACGGAGTCAAAGTACACACTGCCTAGTCCAGGGATTAAACACACAATTACAGTTACCAAATTCTCAAACCAATGCTTTAATCCACTAGGACCTGTAATGAACTTTGAGTCTTAAACCTAACCTGTCCTGCTGATTAGTACTACTGTACTGTTACCTGTCATGTTTGATTGCTGCTGAAAACTTGCTGTTGTTAATGGCTCCCATATTGTATTTATTTCTATGCTAGTTCTACTAAGGAGGTCCTCATACCCTAGTATATGTGCAGATTCTTTCAGACATCTAACTCTCCAGTATTTTCACTTCCTTTCACAGACTACCCCTTTCATTCCATACATGATCAGTTATGCCAAATTTCATTGTCTCACTCCTCATTATGGGTTTTGATGTTCCTTTAGCATTGTTTTTTTTTTTTTTTTTTTTTTTTTTTTTGGTGGGAGGGGGGTTGTTTCCCCTTTATATTCATTGCTACAACAACAAGGAATCGAGTACACACAGTTCTTGTTAGTTCTCTGTAGAGGGGAACTGCTTCTAAGAGGCTTATATTCATTATTGTGTGTTAGTTGTCCCTGCTGGAATCAATGTTTGAATTAATAACTAAACTTACAGTGATCTAATGAATTAGGTCTCTTATTTACATATTCTATTGAGATAGAATATGTAAATAAGGGACCAAATTATTTTGTTTTGTTCTCTGAAGTAATATCTAACAAAGAAAATATTACTACATCAAAATGCATTTCAAACTTGAAAGAAATAGATATTTTCTATTTAAAATCTACTTGTAACTATGTCTTCTTTGTCATCTTAAATTTGAGGAGTTATGCTCAAACTTCTGAATGCTCATTTAAATTTGAACACTATCTTGCATGAAATGTTTTGATGAAAAATGTCAATTTTAAGTATTTCCAAATAAGTGTTATTTTGATAAATATCAATTTAAAAAATAAAATTAGTGTACATCCTGACATTGGAAGCTTTTTTCTATTATTCATTCTTTAAGGTACTGTTTTATTTACTTGACTAAAGGCCAAGTATAAATTCTGAGATTATAATACTTCTTGACCAGCTGTTTGTGATCTAAAAACATGGAGGATTATAAAATTGTGTGAATTTGTAGTAAATAAAATTGTACATATATTTGACTTGAAATTGAAAAGAGCTTGTTACTTTGTATGACAAAGCTTTCCAACCCTTCAACCCTTTTGCAACTTTTTAAAAATATTGTGTGACATAATTTAAGTCTTTTTTTATTTTTATTTTTTTTATTCTTTTTATTTATTTATTTTTTTTTAAGCCAAATGCATAATTGAAAATGTATATAACAAAAAATTTATTTGATAATTGAAGGGAATATGGATATTCGATTACACCAATGCCATGATACATCATTTTGAACAGGTCTGGCATAAACTATTTGGTAGTAACATTTGTGTTGTTCACTTGGTACATGCATGTGTCCTATATAGATATTCTAAACCAAATCTGACGAGACCAGTATTAGGATATTTCATAATTTGATGTCCGTTTTAATTTAATTTTCTATTAAATGAGAAAGGTAAAATTCTACTTGTTTACATCAATTTCTTTACTAAGTATGTTATTTTATTTATTTTTTTTTATTAGAAAAGGCAACAAGCCAGCTTTTATTGGAACCTGACTGGGACTCTATCCTTAGTATCTGTGATTGCATCAGACAGGGAGATGTGCAGTAAGTCAATAATTTTGCAAATTTCATTCCCTCCAACACTTTTTCTTACTAATACACATTGTATTTTTTTTTAATTTGAGGAACAGGCAATCATCTCACAGTATTTTAAGTATGACAGACTTTTGTAGTATTATTTTCACTCTCTTCCCTGTTTATTATTGTGGTGTAATACAATGATAATAATTTCAGGTTCTAATTTCCAAGTTGCTACTATTTATAAGGATGAGCATCTCTGTTGTATGTTATTTATACATTTATGTCATTTAGGCTTGTACATTTGTGCTATTTTAAAATTCATTGAAATATTTTTTATTTTATTCATCACATTCCATCATTTTTAAAAATTGTTGAATAGTGATTACTTCATGATATTGTTACCCTCCCAAGAGACATGGTGAAGTAATGGATAGCAGCTCTGATTGCAGAATCGGAGAGCTGTTAAATTCCAGCTGTGTTTGTTACATTCACTTGTTTTCAAATACCTTTTGGGCAAGGTATGAATCCATTTTCTCTCTCCACAGCCATGGGTAAATAGTAGAATAGTCTGGGTTCTGTAGTCTTGGTTGGCAACCAGTATAGGAGAAGGACAACTCTGAATTCAAAACCATATGTATCCCTGGCAATGCATATACTATGCAGCTAAGGAAAGGATCATATAATTCACATTGACTCTATGATCCTGTCTATGGTTGATCATTCATTCATTGTTACCCAACCATTTCTACTTTTTGAAATAGATATAATATAAAAACCATATGAATTCTCTTTTCTAGAAATTAAATATGATTTGAGAAGAGAAAGTTATAAAAACAAGATCTAACGATTATTTAAAATTTTAAATAATTACAGTTTATAAAAAATAGATTTCAGAAAATAATTACCAAATTAGGATGTAAGCATGAATGGACAGAAAATTTATTTACAAGTAACATTATCAATTAAAACCTGAAGCATTTAAATCAATACAGCTTTCCCAATATGTTATGCCTTTAATATAGAAGTCCTGAAACCTACACTTGACAAAATATGTTGTCACTTTCTTATTAGTGACTCTTTGCTTTAAATAGTTGAAAAAATGTGAGTTTGGTTTTGAGAATATGGTGGATGATACAAAACTTTAAAATCTTGTGCATGTCTTTTTTTTTTTTTTTTTTTAAAGTGTGGGATAAAACATTATCAGTGATTCCCTTTAACTAATACTGACTTTATTTTGCATAATTTTCTATGCAACCTTTTTCAATTACTAACAGTAAATATTAGGTGTGATCTTTTATGGGAGAAAATTATTTGGGACCATACCTGACATAGACCATGTTTAGTTGGTGCCAGGTAGGCTTTAGAAAATGTTTTGGAGCATCATGATCAATAAATTGTGTAGATAATTTTGTTTCTTTTACTTTCCAGTTTACCTTCAAGTATTCTGAAAGAGTTAACATTGAAGAGCGCTTTTTTGTTTAAGTTGTTCTATCAAACATTCTCTCCTACTAAATCTTTAAATTTATTTGCAACATAAATGCTGAGACTCTTCTCCATTTTGGAACTTAAATCATTGATACACTGAACATTATGAAATACAAAATATATACATATAACTTGGAGAAAGATTGTGTGTGTGTGTATATATATATATATATATATATATATATATATATATTTATTTTGAACATAACTAAAATGTCATCTAAAAAATCTGCTACTTGTTGGCTTAACTGGTAGGTAAATTTTGGTGATATTTGTAATTGAGTCAGCTAAACTATGATCAGCTTCCAATTTTTTAGTATTTACTGTTATAACTTGAAAATGTCCATATGACTCCTGTTAACTAAACTGTGGGTAAACTAAATAAATTTAAGCTGCTGACCAGATGCTATGAAACAGACATCCTAATTTTGGTTTGTGTTTATGCCTTTATGGCTGGTAAATGCATAGTCCTCATTTATATCTATTGCCATTAATAGATATGGTCAGTCTTTGATATGAATTTTCATTCTTGTTTTTAATAATATTCTGTATTTATGTCTCTCTTTCAGACCAAAATATGCCCTGAATGCTATAAAAAGAAAATTGGCTGTGGATAATCCTCATGTGGCTATGTTTGCACTCCAGGTAAAATTGCAGTCTTTGCATTGCTAATTTTAGATTTGTTTGAATGTCACTTTATACTAAATTATAAAATGAAGCTTTAATAATGAATTCTTAAATATATAAATTACAATGTGAAAAACTTGTAAAGAGGACAATTTGAAAAAAATTGCTTTATGCAAAATCTTTGGACAGTAACTGATTTGATTATCAGTGTGGATAGATCTAGTGACAAACTTATTTCAATCTAGTGTACATTTAAACCATTTATAGCACTTTTACTATTTTGTTAATCTATAGTATAAGGTATGATAATTGTTATTTATTTATACATTATTCTATTTTATTTATTTTTTACTATTACATCTTAACTAAATCTTCTTTATACCAACAATATAGAGGCTATTTCAAGACTCAGAAGTAATGTATTATGAATGAAAGTATATTACATTAGTTTGGGATTTTTGGGATGATGCCAGGATGATAGATTTTTTTTTTAATTTTTATATTCTAAAAGCAACTTCTTTCTTAAAAAAATCTTTCAGCAATGATGGTGAGCTTTTAATATATGGAAAACATATGCCTACACATGTATACTGGCATACACAAAAATTAAAAAAAAAAAATTTTTTTTTTTTTTTTTTTTTTTTAAACTGGTAGATAAAACCCAAATTAAAAATTGAGATATGTATATTCTATCTTTTACTTGATTATAATATTGGATAAGAATTTTGGCAATTTTTAAAGAAATATGGGAAATGTACTAAATATAATAGTGTCCAGTGTATTTCTAATTTGTTTATAAATCTGATAATCTCATTATGTTGCTTATAAAAATAATGAGCTCTTTTTTTTTTTTTTTTTTTTTTTTTTTTTTTTTTTTTTTTTTTTTGTCAAAGGATTAATTAGTAACTTTTTTTTTTCTTAGACACTAGAGTCCTGTGTGAAAAATTGTACTTCATTGATTCACCAAGAAGTGGCATCTAAAGAATTTATGGAATTTCTAAAAGAACAAGTCAAGGTATGTATATGTGTGTGTGTGTGTGTGTGTGCATATATATAGTTATACATGTTAATGATAGGCATGCAATTTATAATTTTGAAGAATTAAAGATGACTGAAAGAATTTGGTTATGTTAGGCTCTGATAGCCTCCTCCTCAACAGACTTAGCTTTGATATGAACACCATCTTGGAAACTGATTAAGAACACTAAAAAAATTCCACCGCCTCAATAGAGATATGGAGTTTAAGGCTCTAAAATTACTCCACTGAATTGTTGAAGAAACACATGAACTAGTGTAATAAAGTGTTGATTAAAGCATATTTGGCTTCTTCGCAATTCTTAGTTAAATCACTGGATTGGGTAGTGTAGAAAAATGACATTAAAGAAAGACAACACAAAAGGAAAAATAGATTAGAAAACATTAACTAATAGAAAATATCCAATTGCTTGGAAAGAAAGTGAAATGAGAACTATATACCCCTGTGGTGTGAATAAAGGATTTGGTTCAAAATTCTATAGTTACTGAATACAAAAAAACATCAATGGTGAAATGTGAATGTAACAGCCAAGATGAGAATATGTTCCAAATAGAAAGTCATATAACAGTAATTTTTTCATTATAAAAAAAAAAAAATATGAATTATCAGAAATACTCATAAGTATTTCTTATTTAGTATTCAGGCACTTTTTATATTGCAGAAAACAATTACCAGTTTCTGTTCATTGCTAAGAAATGGAAAATATCCAAATTTTGTTTGAAAGGCAAAAAGAAAAGCAGTTTATAGTAGTGCACATTTCATTCACTGTTATGCACATCAGCCTGGTTTAACAATGAAAAATGCAGCAAGTATTACATGAAACACAAGACTATTTTTCTTTAATGTTTTGGCTAAGATCACCACAACATGTATCCATTTTCAAGATTCATATGGGCTTTTAAAAAGCAACCTTTAAAAAGCTAACTTACTGAAATTCAGTCAGCATCAAATGCAAATCAAACCATTACAGAAGTTCATTGTTTTGGTTATTTTTTTCATCAGATTATGCCTCATATTGAAGTAATTTAGAACCAAATGCAATCTTGAAAAATGAGTGTGTTTAAAGTCGGTGAATAGTCGGGAAGTGTGTGACTGCATATGTGATGATATAATGGACAGATATTCTTCTGCTAAACACTCAGTACCTGTTAAATTGTTCAACAAGAAAATGTTCACTAGTTTTAAGAATGAACTGCCTACAGAAGAGATATTACTGACCACTGAAGCATATCCCATGATTGACAAAGAAAAGCTTGAATCTGAACTAAAAGTATTCTAGTGTAGATCTAATATGCATGAATATTGCAAATTAATTGAGCTGCTGAAATTTATCTTGAAAAATAATCAAGATGTTTTCTTAATAAAATTACAAAACTGATAAAAATTCTCTTGGCAATTCTCATGACTGTCAAGGCCAGAACACTGCTTTTCAACACAGAAAAGAATAAAAACTTTTCTAAGGAGCACTATGAATCCTGAAAGACTAAATACACTTGTAAAGATCTTTCAATGGAGAAAAATTTCCTCAATCATCTAGGAACCAAAAAGAAAAATATTAACCTTTTTACTCAAAGTAAAACAAATTTTCTTCTGTGTTTCTTTCACTTTACACAATCTTAAAACAATGGCTAAAAATTTTCTGAAGCAGCTCCCTTACTAATTTTAGCCATGCACTGACCCTGATTGGGTTTCTGTATAGGTTGTTTTCTTGTGTATTTCAAGATGTTTTTGTTGTCACTGTTAGAATAAACCTCAAAAATAAAATCTTACTTATTATAAAACGCAGATTGTGTGTGTGTGTGTGTGTGTGTGTGTGTGTAATGTTTATATATTGGATAGGATTTCCTACATTTTTCAACCGATTTCAACAAAACTTCACAGGACTACATAAAATTACCTTGTGGTGGTTCTAACAGCGCCAAAAATGGGGAAAAATATAATTGTTTTTGCACAAAATCAATTTGAAAACACGATTAAGAGACATCGTGAAAATGGAAGGGGGACAACTCACATCGGATTGTTTGTATGTGTGGGTTCCTTTAATATGGGAGCGGATTTCCTATATTTTTCAGCCGATGAAACAAAACTTCACTTTTTTTTTTTTTTTTTTTTTTTTTTTTTTTTTTTTTTTTTTTTGGCAGGTAGTGTTTCTTATTCTCTTGCACACTTATTTCTTTATTTTTAACATTCAGAATGCTTTAAAAATTCCATTTACAAGACAATTGTTTATAAAATTCTATTCAATCAGGAGACTCATAACGATTGAAAACAATGTTTTTGTTTGAGTTTGGGTTTGACCAATTCCTAAAAAAAAAAAAAAAAAAAAAAAACTAATTAAGACATGCGTGTCCATCAACCTTAAAAAATAATCTAACGATTTCTACTAATTGTATGAATACAAACATCAGATAAATTCTTTATCTTTAGGGAAAGATAATGAAATCTAAACATGCACAAGTGCTAACTAAAAATAATAACTGGAACGGGAAACTACTTTAAATACACATGGTGTCCAATTTTTTTACTGTATTCAATAAGTAAAAATCATAAATTGTAAAAGATTATTATTACTGAAAGGCTACTAAATGAATAAGATTTGTTAGATCATAATTAATAAACCCAAATAAAGTTAATATTTTTTGTATTAGAAACGAGTAGAAAATATATTCAAATCAGAATTCTAATTATGAATCACCACATGCAAAATATGCAATTTTTATTATTGTATTCAATAAGTAAAAATCATAAATTGTAAAACTAAAAGATTACAGAAAGGCTACCTACATTTTTCAACCAATTTCAACAAAACCTCAATTTTTTTTTTTTTTTTTTTTTTTGGCATGTAGTGTTTCTTATTGTCTTGCACACTTTTTTCTTTATTTTTACATTTGGAATGCTTTAAAAATTCCATTTACAAGACAATTGTTTATAAAATTATTCTATTCAATCGGGAGACTCATAATGATTGAGAACAATGTTTTTGCTTGAGTTTGGGTTTGACCAATTCATAAAAAAAAAAAAAAAAACTAATTAAGACATGCGTGTCCGTCAACCTTAAACAATAATCTTTGTCAATTTTATTTTTCAGTCTTTATGATGGTGGATACTTGATCTATCTCTTACTGTTATATCCCCGGGCAACGCCGGGCTCTACTGCTAGTTGCTACTAAATTACAATTTGTATTTCTCAATACACAAGTCAGTCATTAAAACAAAATGATTAAACTAAATTCAACTAGTTAAGTACATTGTGTGACAGACATTGTATGCAGTGTGCATATTTAAAATGCTAATTTGTTATAGGAGTCTTTAGTTTTAAAGTTACATACATTTTATACATAGGTACTTTTTATTTAGAAGCTATCACTTTGTATAATTTAATTCTGCTGATTATTCTATATCTTTGATAAATATGTAACTGTTTTTTCAGACCCGACCTCCACCTGTAAAAGAAAAGATTTTGGAACTGATTCAAGTGTGGTCTCATGCATTCCGCAATGAACCAAGTTACAAAGCTGTACAAGACACCTTTCATCTAATGAAGATGGAAGGTCAGTTGATGTCTTTTATTGTCTTCAATTAAATCATTTGTGTGCACTAAATGTTTTGGTAAATAATAAAAAAAAAATGATTGTTGGAACAAACAGCTGGTTTACAAAGGTTGTTTTTATACAAAAATAAATTGTTTCCATTTTTATTATTATTAATAATAATAATAATAATTATTATTTTATTCTCACCCCCCCAAAAAAAATCTTATTTATATTTTAGGTTATACATTCCCTGCTTTGAAAGAAGCTGATGCAATGTTTGTTGCTGAAAAAGCTCCTGAATGGAAAGATGGAGAATGTTGTACACGGTGCAGGGTTGTATTTGGTGTTGTTCAGAGGAAGGTATGTTTACTTGATATATTTTTTAAATTATTATATTTCAGCTTGTTTTAAAAATTTATTTTAATATTTTTGCTTTTGCTACTATCTAATATTTTAATTTTTGGAATCAATAATTTTAATTCCATAAGCCTGTTTACTAAATTTAAACTTTGTAGGAGATTTTTTTTATTATTAAAGTACTAGAATTCCTACTTGATATTTTAAAATATATAATCCAATCAGAATGGTGTGCAATTCATTTGTATATATTTCTTTGCTCATTTCAATTTGTTTTGTTAGCTTTCTAAGAATTACTTTTTGTAATGGTTACCATTAAAATAGTCTGTGGTAAGTAGAATTTTAAATGATTTTTTTCCCCCTTTTAAATGCATTTTCTTTCCAGTTTGTCTAATTTTCAATAAATCATTTGTTTTAGTTTCCCTTTCTTTGTTGTTTTCAGCTATTACATTTTAAAATGTTTTTATTATCTTTTTAGCATCACTGTCGTAATTGTGGGGAAGTAATGTGTAGTAAATGCTCTTCCAAGGTTTCGACAATCCCTCGATTTGGAATTGAACGTGAGGTCCGTGTCTGTGACTCTTGCTATGAAAAACTCAGGTGAGATTTTTTTTTTTTTTTAACTCATTTAACAGAAAATTCCATGTCTACAGAAAAATATTTTCTGTATCTGTATATGCTTATTTAGGGACCTCCATAAAAAAAAAAAACATGATACCTAAGGTTTAAAATGAATTTTTAAAATTGAAAATCTTTCTTGATATATTTTGGTTTTAATTTCAAGTTAATATATTAAATTTAATATTTCTAATAAGCAAAATACTTTGTATTTCAAAAGCTAATTTAAATTGACTGGAAAGATTTTTTTTTTTTTTTTTTTTTTTTGCTAAGATAGCTGATTAGTGCCCTTTTGTTAGTCATCTTTCATCGCAATATAATTCTCTTTATTAAAAAAATCTTCCAAAAATAAAATGTATTTTTCTGGAATTTTATTTGAGGAATATTAGCTGCCTCAGATGAACTACATTCCTTGTTTCTGTCAGGTCTAACCTTCTCAGTTAGGACCTGCCATGCCACTTACATAGTAGCAAACCATCTACATTCCCTCCATATTCCATTGGTGAGAATTAAGTTCTACTCAAGTAACTTCTTCCCACAAACAGCTACTTTGTAGAACCAACTCCTAAAAGGATGTTTACCCGATCACTACAATCTTGACCTATTTAAGTCTAAAGTTAGTCGTTATTTTCCTCTCCTATCCATATAAAGTACCCCTTAATGTAACCCTCTACCTTGAGTGCGCCAGGGTCTTGTACAGAGTAAACCGTAGTGCGTGTAAAAAAAAAAAAAAATTATAATTAATCTGATTTAAAACAAATATTAAGTTTAAAATATTCCAGAAATGCATTTTTTAACCCGACAGTAGCAGTGTTGACATGTTTGGCAAGGTGATAACAGATCTAATGTTGTTCGATGGAGACTATCTGTAAAACATAATTGAAGAAACTGACGTGAGTGCCTTTTTTATTTGATCTTTAACTACTCAATAATCTTTAAAATTTAGAAAAATATTCTCCATAATCTAATGTTTCATTGAATTTTAGAAATTTTGACTTAAATTTACTATTGTCAACACACTTAATTTCTGATAATGTCATGCATCATAATGCCTGTACTTACAAAAAAAGCTGTATGCTTGTATATAAATAAAAAAAAATATTTTAAAAATATTGGTGTTTAATGATTTGTATTAAGTTTTCTATTTATAATTAGTAAATATAGTTTTCACTTAATATTAAAAACTGCTGAAATTAGTACAGAATTTAAAAAATTTTTTTTTTTTTTTTTTTTTTTAAGATGAAAATTCTTGTAAAAATTCATTAGTCACTGAAAAAAATTTTTTTTATTAAGATAATAGTGCCTTTAATATATCTTATTTATAAAAGCAATTAAAAGATTATCTAATTAATGTCAATTTTACTGCATTTTTTTTATTTTACGATTAAGAGCAGATTTTTGGTAAATGTTGTGGGTTTGACAAAAACAAATTGATTTAAATTCTCCAAGAGGTCCTGCTTTTAACTAATATAAATACAAAACCCCTGGAATTTTAATTTTTCAATTTCATAAAATTAAGTGGGGGTAATTTTATTAAAATCCAACAATTATTTGATTTTTGCAAGAATTTTCAAAATAATGTGTTTTTACCGCAAGAAAGATACTAAAATTCCCATACTAATTTTTAACCCACATGTTGACACAAGAAAAACAAGATATTTAAACAAAATTTTGAATGTGCTTAGAAAGGATTAAAATCTTACTTATTATAAAACGCAGATTGTGTGTGTGTGTGTGTGTTTGTAACGTTTATATATTGGATCGGATTTCCTACATTTTTTCAACCGATTTCAACAAAACTTCACAGGACTACATAAAATTACCTTGTGGTGGTTCTAACAGTGCCAAAAATGGGAAAAATATAATTGTTTTTGCACAAAATCAATTTGAAAACATGATTAAGAGACATCGTGAAAATGGAGGGGGGGGACAACTCACATCGGATTGTTTGTGTGTGTGGGTTCCTTTAAATATGGGAGCGGATTTCCTATATTTTTCAGCCGATAAAACTTCACTTTTTTTTTTTTCTTTTTTTTCTTTGGCAGGTAGTGTTTCTTATTCTCTTGCACACTTATTTCTTTATTTTTAACATTCAGAATGCTTTAAAAATTCCATTTACAAGACAATTGTTTATAAAATTCTATTCAATCAGGAGACTCATAACGATTGAAAACAATGTTTTTGTTTGAGTTTGGGTTTGACCAATTCCTAAAAAAAAAAAACTAATTAAGACATGTGTGCCCATCAACCTTAAACAATAATCTAACGATTTCTACTGATTGTACGAATACAAACATCGGATAAATTCTTTATCTTTAGGGAAAGATAATGAAATCTAAACATGCACAAGTGCTAACTAAAAATAATGACCGGAACGGGAAACTACTTTAAATACACATGGTGTCCAATTTTTTTACTGTATTCAATAAGTAAAAATCATAAATTGTAAAAGATTATTATTACTGAAAGGCTACTAAATGAATAAGATTTGTTAGATCATAATTAATAAACCCAAATAAAGTTAATATTTTTTGTATTAGAAAAGAGTGGAAAATATATTCAAATCAGAATTCTAATTATGAATCACCACAAGCAAAATATGCAATTTTTATTACTGTATTCAATATGTAAAAATCATGAATTGTAAAACTAAAAGATTACAGAAAGGCTGGTATATCACTTTGAAGCAAATAGCATAAGCATTTTATTTTATTCAATTTACCTTTCTCATTCTCAACAATTCCTATCTTTTCCTAAGTCTTAAAAAAAAAAAAAAATTAAATTTTACCAACTTTGACCTGAATTGTTTTTTTTCCACAACGTAATTTTATAAACCCCCTTTTTGACAACTATTAATGTACAAAGTTACTTTAAGTAAACCTGCATCAATTAGACCAATTGTATATCAATAATACTTATTCATTACCTTTCTTGCTCTTTTTCTATACGTTTCCATTTCTCATAACCAACTTACATAGGAACTAAAGTTGTCTATGACAAGTAGAATATTATTCTGATTATTTGAGGAATTCAGTAATTTGCTAACAGTGTTGCAAAACAATATGTTAAAATAAGCATCTACATATGGCTACAAAAACACATATTACATTAAATGGCTACTTAAGTTTATAGCCCTTGTCATGGGCTGTGAATTAACAAGCAATAAGATGTACATTTTGTTTTCTTTTCTTACTGTCCTGGGTATAACGATAAACTACATCCACATCCTGCATAAGACAAATTACGTCCAACAGCAAGGCCTCTGATCAGGAGGTTTTGAGGAGCGTGGAACCACCTCTTAATTGCTGGTGTTCCAGGTCCACCCTGAACGGGGTGGTAGTACCTGTTAGGGTCTCAGCTATGGGCAAATAGTTAACACCCAAACTTGTGTAAAAATAGGTTTTAATACCAGAAATACTTTGATATAAAAAAAATTATTACCAACAATAATTTACTAGAGGGCACAGAATCCCCAATATGCACTACATGCCAAGAGAAATTTACAGTGAAACATATACTGTTAGTGTGTAGATTTTGATCTAGTGTGAACAAAATATTACCAAGTGAGTAATTTTAAAAACTTTTTACGAAAAATAAAACCATCCAAGATTGTAAATTTCCTAAAAGTTGGATAGTACTCAAAAATATAAGTGATTGGAAAATGGTTCAAATATATATGTATACATATCTTTTTTTTTTTTTTTTTTTTTATCAAACTATCGCTATGAATCTATTTAAAAATTTTGTTGGCATTAAATGACCCACTGAGGTTGATATGCCATAAAACGAAACAACCAACCACTCTTCATTTCTTAGGTTTCAAACACATTTCCAGTCTTTTTCTCAAATTAATGATTTTAACTATCTTTGTATATTTAAAATCCAGAAACTATCTGATGTAAATTTGTTTTTTTTTTTTTCTTTCTTTTTTTTTTTTCTTTTTTTTGCTGTTGAAGTCTCTATTGGTTACTCACTGTTACTATTTCAACAATCACATTTAGGGATCTTATTTTAGGATTTCCTTCTGTTTCAAGTTGTATATATGCAGCTACTTCTCAGGATTTTGAGACTTTTCTCCACAAGGAATTGGTGATTGTTCATGATGCATCTATCCATACAATTTCAGATAACTTTTTGATATAGCAATATTAATTTTTCTAATATAACTTTTCAGGGATAAAAAGTCAACTTCAGATACTGATGCTCTGCCCTCAGAATACCTGGCCAGTTCTTTATCAAAGCAGTCACAAGTAAGTTTCTGCTTAAATGTATACACTTACTCATCAATTCTCACTTCCTACCTAATGACTTCTTTTGATGTCAGTTATACACTACCACAGTTACTAAGATTGCAATGCAATATTAAATTGTTGGTTTACATTTAAAGATAAGTTTGCATTTTCATAATTTTAAGTTATAACAATTTCAAGTATAATTCACTGTGCTGAAAATGTATAAAGTTTCACCAGTTTTACAAATTGATTTTTTTTTTTTTTTTTTTTTTTTTTAAGCTATTCAAATGTCACTGACAATAAAATAGATACCTCCACTAATTTGGTTTAAATTTTCAATACCTAAAGTTTAAAATGAATATTAATAAATAAAAACACATTCTTGAAGATTTCTTTTTAGCTTTTAATTGAAAGCTAAAGGATTAAATTTACTATTTCCAGTAAGCAAAATACTCTGGTGTATTTCAAATAGAAATTATATAGATTGGAAGGTCAAATATTTGCTTGGATTTCAAAAAAATCTGTTTACTGTCAGCCACTTCTTGCATTTATCAGTTTTAAAAATTTTCCAAAAATATATTTGTGACATGTTGTTTGAGTAAAATTAGCAAATTTAAAGTTAAATTAATCTGATTTGAAACAAATATTACTTATAACAAAAAAGTAGTATACAACCTTTTTTTAATGACAGGTCCTGTTTTTCTCATGTCTTTGACATTATTAATGAGCTATAATGTGTTAATAGCTAGTATGGATGACCAGAATTGACATAAATTTACAAAATCTAAACAAATGCATTTTTTTTTGTTTCTTTTTAACTACCTAGTAACTTTTACAAATTAATATTTTCAGCAATTATCTAATATTTTGACTTTTAGCTATGTTTGAAGATGCTTTATGAAAAAATAAAATTTTAAATTAATTTTAATAACTGAAATATTAATGAAATGCCATGATAGAGGTAACTCAATAATTTGAGATGTTATGGTATTTATTTATATTTTTTAATATATTTTTTTTAAACTTTAAAGTTGAGATGTAAACATGCAATGAATAACGAATTACAGACAAGCTAATTTCTATGTAAATGGAGAACAACTCTTACAACATGTGTCATTTATAGACTTCCATCGATGCAAAATGGGAATGTTTAAACTAAAATAAAAATTATTTTAAAAATCTTTGTACAAAACGACTTATATTAGGCTTTTCAATTTTTGATTCATTTTTTTACTTAATTACAATATCACCTAAAAGAAAGTAATGCAGAATTTTAAACAATTTTTAAATTCATATAACTTATTGTAATTAAAATTTTAAAAAATGAAAAATTGTAAAAATTATTCATCGAAAAATTTCTTTTCGTAAGACAATAGTGTCATTAATATAACTTTTTTTTTTTTTTTTTTTTTTTTTACAAAAGCAATTAAAAGCTTTTCTAATTAAATAATGTCATAGTTTTATCACATTTTTTTAGTTGACCATTTGGAGCAGATTTTCAGGAAATTAGTAGTTTGAGAGGTTGTTTCATTAAAATCCAACAATTATTTGTTTTTTGCAAGAATTTCGAAATTAATGTGTTTTTCACCTGAAAAAGGGTGCTAAAAAAATAAAGGTCAAAATTACGTCGATGATGTAAAAAAAAAAAAAAAAAAAATTTTTTTAACCAAGATTTCAAATGTGTTAGAGAGGTTTAAAAAAAATAATCAAAAAATACTTTCTTCTTAATAATAACATTTTGACAATAAAACTTTGAGGCCTTTTTTCATCATGCTATGAAAAAAGTCCCAAAAAAATTTTTTACAAAAAAGCGGAGGTATCTAGAATAAGGGAGGCACAGTGGAGCAATGGCTAGTGGCTCAGATTGAGGAATTGGAGAGCTGAGTTCGGATTCAGCTGAATCCATTACATTCACTTACATGCTAATACCCTTGGGAAAGGTATGAATCCTCTTCCTCCAGCTAGTAAACAGAAGGACAGACCGGGTTCTATAACCTTGGATGGCAACTGGTTTACTGCAGAAAGAAATGGCAACCTACTGCAGGAAAATGTCAGCCTCATCAGTCATGTATCGAAAGATACATGATTGCCTAAGCTTGTATCACGCATGGCACATAACTGACCTAAAATAAAATGAACAAATATGGAGGATGTTTCTATTCACAGGTGCTTTACTTTTAGTTCACACAAGTAAAATGTTTTGACAGAATTTACTGTTTTATGTGATTTTTTTTTTTTCTTTGAACTCAGCTTTTAATAATTAATAGTAATAAATACCAGTTATCACCATTTATTAGTGAATTTGTAAAGAATTATTTTGCATTTAGAGAGATCTCATGATGATGTTACATAAAGTAAAGAAAAAATTAAGCATAGCTCCTACCCTGGACATTGCAAGATAATTCTTCTTGTAAAATAATCTATGATCTTTTTTTTTTTTTTTTTTTTTTTTTTTTAAATGTTTTAAATGTTTGAGAGAATAGTTAATTACATATAGTATGGGTTATTTCAAAATATAGGTAGGTGTTTTGTGTTGATTTCTTTGTGTTTACAATGGTGCTAATGACCAGAACTAAAAATATTTTTCATCATTGTAGTCCTCCCTTGTTGAAATGATATTAACCAATTAGTTTGAACAAATAAAGAATGTTTATGGATATCTTGATTACTCTGACTTCTGTTTTTATTGTTTCCTACTTCATCAAACAGAAGGGGACAAGAAACCAAGACAATGTAAGAAAACTTTTTTGTTCTTTCTGCAGCAGTTCTATTTTCAGTTAAGCTATTTATTTTCTTTGTGCCATCAACAGATGATCTTTACTCTTCCACTTTTTTAAACAGCTAAGCATAAAAAAAGTAAAATTCAACACAAATATGATGCATTGACAACATGCAAAATCTTATGCATTTTTGTAGAAAAAAATCACATACTATTTTTCTATACATATAATTCTAAAGAACAAATATGCTTTTTTATCCTTTTAAAATCATTTGATGCTTGCTTTAAACTTGGTTCTGTATTTTATTGCATTAATTAGTTGTAAGCCATTTTACATTGATTTTAATTTTTTTTTTTCTTATTTTTAATTATTTAAGAGTCAGTTATAACTATTTTTGATGAATGCAAGTTAGAATTTTCTTGGAATCTATAAATTCATCTTTATATTGTGCTATTTATTCAGCTACAACTTTTTTTTTGCATAAGACCATATATATATATATATATATATATGTACACACACACAGATATTGCTACAAAAATAATCACTGATCTGCTTAAATGATTTAATTTTCTTTATCTTAAGTCTTTTGTAATTCAAGTTTTAATAAGCCAGATGTTTTTTTTCTTTTTTTTCCATTCCTAATGATACTTGGCTAATATTTGAGGTTCTGTTGCCTGCTACAGTGTTTTATTTTATTTATTTATTTTTTTTTTTTAGTTGGTTTTATTTGTTTTTATTTTGTTACTCTGGCTTCAGTTCCTGCATGTCTTACTACTATAGCTACTGTTGTAGAAGTCTTGTGTTGTATCATAATTATTGTTGTTTTTTTATTAATAAGTAATAAAATAACAAAAATACTTAGTGAAACATTTTCAAAACACTTAAAACTTGGGCTTTTTTTAGTCAGAAGCTGTTCACTTTATTAGACATTTGTGGAAAATTTATATTTAAATAAAACAATTTTGTAAATTTTTATAATTTCATATAAGAATGCTTTGGGAACATGAAATATAACTAAATTAAAGAAGTGAATTTCTTTATTCAATATTATCTTTTACATTCAAATAATTAGCTAGAAATCAAGGAGGTGACATGACACTTTTGTTAATCAGAAGCTAGACTAAGATGGTAGACTGAGAAACGGTAAGAACTAAGGATTTTGCCTTTTCATGCTTCCACATTATTTAGAATTTTTGTTATCTGAACTAAAAACTTCTGATAGTTTGTCAGTAAGCAAATATTGGCGAGGTTTATTAACATTAGTAATAACATGGTGTCTGCTTAATAGTTGAATCGCAGAACCACCAGATTGGTAACTGCATTTTTAATATACATGATTTTAATCTGAGTGAAAAGTCTTCTGTAATGTGTTCATAATTTTGGTTTCATTTAAAAACTAGTTTTTATACTTAGATAAGGTTTAGAAATTTTTATGAGTAGTTTGGAAATTATAGTAAATTAAAATGACAGTAAATGAAGGTTAAAACTCTGCTTCTTAAAAATTGAAAAACACTTTTTATTCATAAAATTAATATTTTAAAACTTTATTCATGTGTAAAACAAGTATATTAATTTAAGGAAATAATGAAGTTCAACTTTATCAATATATAATAAAAGGGCTTTACATAAGGATAATTTTTTATTTTTTTACACAAAATTAGAGTAACATTGAAAAGACAGTCTAATGTACATATTAATTTCTATTGAAACTTTTAATAATCATAATTGAAGACTTTAATAAAATCTCTTCAATTAAGAAATTTGACATCTGTTATGTATGAATACAATTTTACATTTTTCTGTAGTAAATGTCAAGAACTAATCTCACCTATGTAGTTTATGAAAAGTTATATTTCAAAAATGTCTTAAAATTGACTTGCAAATTATTTTGAAAGGTGATAATATATTTAAATATGATTGAGTCGATTTTTGTAATCCAATACATTCTAGTGAAATTAAAGCTATATGATTGCAAAATTTGTATAGGATTTTATATTTTAGCAAATATTTAGAAGTTTCTTCTAACATTATTTGTGATATCAGTTTATTAACAATGCTATTCATTTTGCAATTTTTATTTCATTTAATGTTTTATCATTACTTGTAAATAAATTTAATATCCCATTATTTAATCTCAGTCTTACCATTAGATTAAAGGTGTGTATTTTTCCACTAAATGAATACTAAATGATCTTTAAGGCAAAGATAAAGAGCATCTGAAAAATAGCACTTACTTTCCTGTATATAGGATACATTTTTTTACATTTATATATGTAAAAGATCACTGCTTAATTTTGTAAAAATAAGTCTTTTATTTTTGTGTCCATGAAATTTGGAATAATAATGCAATATTCTGCTTAAAGAAAAAATGCTTTTTAGTGTTTCCACCTTGCTTTTCATCCACTGATTTTCTTTTTTCCATGTTCTTTGTAATATCTAATTCTTTGTCTAAAGTAAAATCAGTACTGTTTAGTTACATTATTGGTTCTAATGAGAATCTATAGTTATTTTAAATGGTGGTAAATTTGGTTAGAAAGTCTTTTTTTAATTGTTGGCTAGGCTTCATCTTATTGTTGCTTTTTATTACAATGAATACCTTTGACCATTAAAGTAAGTAGTATGAAGTAAAAATGAAATAGCTTCCCACATAACTTGAACTTGTATCTCATGTCTCAGGAACTTGCCTTTCAGGGATGATGCCTGAATCAATTCAGCCACTAAAGACTAAACAGCAAATCTTCATACCATATTGTTTTATTGATGGTTATTAGTCTTAAATTATCTGAACCAAAAAACATTATTGCTATTCCTTTTTAAAGAAAAAAAAAAACTAGTGAAAAATTGCAAAAAAAAAAAAAAAGGTTCAATTCAAAGTTTAAACCACTTATCCTTTTCATGATTACATGCATGGGCATTTTCTTGTTTGCTCAATATTTTGCAATGTGACACATAAGGTGTACAATTTTTTAAGTCTGCATTTTGATTCCTGTCAGTTTATATAAAGTGGTTTTTGAAAGTTTTAAAGCATTATCAATTGAATGTATTATGGAAAAGATTAAGAATCATTTAGGTAGAGCTTTATTGCATCTGTACTTGACATGTTTGATATATTGCTTGAAACTGACACTGCTTCACAAATTAATGCCATGTTTTTAAAAACTATTGATTTTGTATACTTATCACAAAGCAAATCATTGAACTTTAAACCTTTTACACATGGTCTATATTTCATTGTCAGTTAATTTTATTAGCTTAATGTTTTAATTATAGAATTTGCTTTAAAATGTAGGCAGTCAAAGGGTCATTAATACATGTAACAGCTTTTCATGGCACTATATGTGTTATCTAGTAAGTTAGCCTTAAAAGGTTTTAACTTTTGTGGTATTGTACTTAATTTTAATAGGCTGATCACATGGCTTTTTAGAAAGAGCTTTGTAAGCTTTCTATTTTTTTTCCTGTATCCTTTTTTAATAAAGATTAATAAAGGCAAATTACTTCATATTCTGAAACATTTTGTCTGGACCAATCATAAGTTATTCCTCTTGATAAGAGTAATATTGAATTGTGAGCTATCTGAAGATTTAGCATTAAAACAACTAAAGAGTTTCACATCTCTTTAAATGACTGAAATAGCAGTGATTATAAAATATCATTTTACAGAGTTCTACAATTTTCATTCTTTATTTCAATATTTCTTAAAACTTTGCTATCTTTTTCAATCTTGCTCAAAGAACAGCTCTATGCTACTTTTTGCAGTTTTCCAGGTAATTTAATTTTTCCATTGAGAATTCAATAAGGATCAAAATAAGGTAATTTGAAAGTACAGTGTTTGCTGAATGTGGCAGATGAGTGAAAACCTGCTAGTTAAGCTATAGCATTTCTGCCAAATAACATAACTCTGTAATTTAGGAAAGTATTGTTTCTTCAGAAATATCTGTGAAAGCTGAAGAGATTATGTGACAATCTCAAAGACATGAAGTTCAATTGTCTGAACAAAACTGAGAATGTTAATGACTCTTCTCAAAAATATAGACACTATAACCTTTCTGATAAGTAGTTCTAAATGTTTTTTTTTTTTATATCAATTGCTGTTGTTAATTGGTCTAAATGAGAGCAGTATTTGCTTGAAGCAATTGATTGGTTCTTGCGAAGGAACTTGAAATTTCACCATATCCACAAAATCATGTTTTTTTTTATTTTTATCTTTTTTTATTTATTTGAAAAGTTTTGTTAGATTTAAGTAGGAAATATTTTACATTTATATGTTGGCCTCACATCATGTGACTAACAGATGAACCAATGCAAATGATTTCAATATATTGGCTCTTCCATGTTACATGACATTAATTGTTCCCAAGTAACAAGTAATATTTTGATTAAATTGCTATCAACCTTATCTAGGCTACCCAATTGGGGAGCAATGTTCAGCCAAAAATCTTCAGATGAAATTTTACAAACCATTTTTTTTTACATGCACATTCATGGTACAGTACCTTCTCTATAAATTGCAGAAACATTTTTTTAATTTGTGTTTTTTGTTTTTGTATTTTTAATATTCAAGCTAATATGACCATTGTCATAAGATAATTTTGAAAAAAAAATTAAAACTAAACACATTTAATGCCATCTAATCAAGACACTTTTTAACTAGCCTAATATAAACTTGCACTGGAGTTCATACTTGTATTTGATCCAACTGTTTAATTTCTATGTGTTTGTACTTATCTTTAGCGCAACTTGAGCTTTGCAATGTTTTACTGTGATTTATAAAAATATTTCATAAATATGTATGACAGGACCTGAAATAACTAAATCTAGCATTGAATCCTATTGCTACCAATAATGTAAACTCTTCTTGAGAGGCTTTGATACCCAAATGTGAATGTATTTGTGTGTGTTACAAAAATGGAGTATATGATCCTGACATTATATAAATTATTGACAATTGGAAAAATGTTCATATAAGTATATTGTCCTAAAAATATATCTGATTATGCATTTTGCCACTTAGACTTCATCAGATTGAGAGTGAAAAAATGAGTTGTGTGTGTATTTGTTTGTTTATTAAATAATGAAATCTTATTTTTTCTCAAGTTGATGATAAAAAAAGAAAATGAGTAAATTTTAGTGTTCTTTACTTTAAGTTTCCGAGTCAAAAGATATAATCCTTCAGAATGTGTAGAAAATAATTTTTTTTTTTTTTTGTCCATGTGTTCTCAGTGTCGACACTGTTATGAAAATGATGTATATGATCCCAACAGTTATAAATTGACAATTGGAAAAATAAGATTTCATTATTTAATAAACATACACAAATATATAACTCATTTTTGCTCTTGATCTGATGAAGCCTAAACAGTGAAGTGCATAATCAGATATATTTTTGGGACATGAACATTTTTTTTTTCCATATATATATTATTTATCTCTTATTTATTTCTTTGTTAGCTACCACCTTCCAAAAGTGAACAAGAAATCCAAGAGGAAGAAGAGTTGCAGCTTGCCTTGGCTCTGTCAAAGAGTGAACATGAGAGTAAAGAGAAGGAGGTAAGTGTTACAGGTTTTTACTTTCTATTATGATTTTTATTCATTTTTCTGTTTTTTTTTTTTTTTGTTTGTTTGTTTGTTTTTTGTTTTTTCATGCACAATTATTGATAAATAGAACATTCAGACTTGAATTCTGATGTCATGCAAAATAAAGTGGCTGGTTTCTCTGATCTAATCTAGGAAAATACCTTGGAAACTGTCTAAATCAAATTATTCAAAAATTTGATTGCTTACGTTATTTTTTTTTTGGGGTGGGGTCCCATCACAGTTTACAGTATAATGAATTTAATGAAGAAATTTCAACTTCTGTGAGAGAAATATGCTATTTCAAGAATGATTGCATCGTATCTTTTTATTATTCCACATTCATAATTGAATTTTAACTTTTTGCTTTAAAAACAAAATTTTCTGCATTAATTGAAATATATAAAAAAAATTTTTTTTTTTTTTTTTTTTTGTCACAAAAAAGTCTCTAAATTTTTAATGATAGGATAGCAGTGACCATTTTAACAATGATTTTTGTTGAGATTTTTTTTGTTTTACTAGTATTTACTCTGCTTAGCTTAGTATGGTACAAGGCCAGATTTGGTGAGTGGGTAGGAAGACTATTGAACCAATCTTCCAAGTAGTGTGTGCTTTCATGACTTGTAAATCAGCATTTGAAATCTCAGCTTTTTCTGGGCTTTGACACTAAACTTGGGCACACAGCTCTCTCTCAGCCACAAGGCAGGCTGTTATTTCTTTTAACTGAGACTGATTATTTTAAATGAATATTATCCATGTTATGGAAAAGGTCCTACTCTGTTCTATAAAGAAGATAAGTTTTGCATATAACTCTAGGCAGTTTTTATAAAAGATCAGGATTATGTAGAGAATTCACATCCTATAGGCAATTTCAAAAAAGCTTATCTGCCTGTATATTGAAGGCTATCTACAATATATCTGCTTTTACTCCAAACTTTTTTTTTTGTATCTGCAAATATTTTAATGTTGTGAAAGAAAATTTTATGCATCCTTTTGAAAAAACAACTAAAATTACTGTTGAGTAGATTCTTCCTCCCCCCCACTATTTTCTTTTGCTCTTGCTCAAAACAAATCTAAAATGTTTAAATTTTTTTCTTTGTGGTTTTGCAGAAATGAAGTACAATTTTATATTTTGAAGCTTTAGAATAGGGAAGAGGTTGCAAGAATTTTGCTGAAGAAATGGTACTAAATGGCCAAAAAGCTTTTATCCATGATTTTTATATTTTCTTGGTTATAGCTTTATTTTTTTTTTTTTTGTTACACTGGAAATAACTGGTGGTAATATTCAAGGCATATAACTTTCAAACTGACAAATGGGAATTTTGTTTGGAGTTAATTCTATGTGACTCTTATTTGTAGGCATATTTGAATACATTTTCTCAGGTGTCTGACTTTGAATTTACCTTTCAGCAAGAAAGGCAGTGTCATAAAATGCATATGTATGGTGGAACTGCAACCAGCAAGGCTAGCTCGATCCCGTCAAGTGTTGTAAGTAAATGTTGTGAATAATATAGATAGCTGGAAATTTTGCAGTAAGAAAGTATTAGACGAGCCAACTTTTTTTTTTTTTATTTATTTTATATATTATAGTACATTTATGATTATACTAGACTCTTTTCTTGAACTAGGAACTGGATGGTTTTCAAGAATAAGCATGCTATGTGGGGTTTCCTCTCACATCTGAATGAAGTCAATGATGCTTTATTTTAAAACCCTTAAGTTTATTTTTATATCTTTAATATCCTTTCTCTGTAATAAAATTATCAAATTTTTTCAAGTATTGATAAATACTGGAAAAAATTTATTTATTGATTAAATACTGGAAAAAATTTATTTCTTTATAATAATACTTACTATAGTATAACCAAAATGTCAGTGTTAAACACTGACGTTTTGGTTATACTCTGCTATATTAGTTTGGTTTTCAAAATTATATTTCATGTTAATTTTAACTTCTAGTCAAATTAAAACCATAGATTTATATAGTATTTTTTTAAATTAATATAATTAATAATTAGCTAACTCATCTGTGTGTTGTGTTGGTCTAGGTCATTTATTCTCTAAATAAACTATTGTTGAGTTCTTTATAATGCTGGATTCTTTAATGTATTTTACATAGTGTCTTTAGTTTAATAATACTAATCAATATAAATATTTGATTTCAAACAAGACTCATTCTGATTAGCAACATCTGGTATGTTGCCAGCTATAGCCCTATACTTCTCAGTGGAATCTGTGGAACTTTACTAAGTGAATATAGTTTCAACTAGGCTCTCGAAGATACACTATTTATATAATAAATGCGAATGTCAGTGTGTCACTTTTTTTCAATTAATGGGACACAACTTTAACTTTCAATAGCTCATGTTACAGAAATTTTGGATTTCTAAGTTAAATTTTTTTATATGATAAGTTTTTTTCTAACTTGGAAATAAATTTGGGAATAGTCAAAATTAATTGCGAAATACAATGAAAATCGCCCATGAAATAAAAAAAATAATTGTTTGTACAGAAAGTAAGGATCTATGCACATCAACTTCTCTTTAAATGAAGTGGTGGCAGAAGAATTATTATTGAGCTTTTAAAAGGTAAGCTTAAAGATTAATGTAATACTTAAATGCATCAATCAATTTTGAGTTTGTAGTTTATTGTTGCCTATCACATCTGGGAGCAGTATGACACAAAAAGAAATCTCCATCAACGGAGGACCAGATTGCAAGCAAAAGGGACAAGGCTGCAGTGAGGAAAGAAAGTCCTGTGGAATTGAAAACTCAGATCAGATAGCATCCAGGGAGCTTCCAATGTTGAGAATATGCAAAGACTTAGGGACTCTCAAACTCCTAAACAAGCCCAAGGCCCAATCAAAAGCCCTCTACAGTGGCAAACCTAAATGCTGCCTGATAAGGTGGCTTTTAAGCTAATTTGAAATAATTTTTTGGCATAATCATAAAACATATATAATATGAAGTATTGCTTACCAGACAAAAATAGTTGAGGTTTTACAAAGAAAAAGGTAGTGGGGAGGATTTCAAATCTCTTTTCCTCTCTTTTACAAATACTTTTAAAGGCACTAATCTGTGAAACTTGTAAAAAAACAAATATTTATTACAATAACAATGTTTTTGCGATATACAAATTGTACAACTTTCTTTAAGAGCAACAGTTTATATAAATGAATTCCTTAGCAACAAAAATTTATTTCAGATGTTGAAGGTTTAAAACCAAGATCTGGGTCCTTTTGATAAATATTCAGATTTTTTAAAGGGCTTCTCCCTACTACTTTCTTCTTCAGCAGTAGTAGTAGTCTTTCTCATCCCAGGTCACAGCTTTTCTTGCCTAGGTTGTTGAATCCATTTTGGTTTCAAGAGTGTTTTATTTCTTTCTGACTTTGCAGTCAATATTTCTCCTCTTTATATAGCAAGTGACTCCAGAGTCATTGAGGGTGTATAGTGCGTATGTGTGTTTTTATCACCAGTGGTTAAAAAAAAAAAAAAAACTAAGAATCGCTATCCAATCAAACTGCATGTTTTGATGTTTTTATATATATGTATGTATGTATGTGTGTGGAGATGCATGCATTAAAGTTCTCAATAAATTTGTAGCGAAAACAAATTGAATAAAACAGTCAGGAAATCGTACTCAGTTCATTGCTGATGAGTTTAGTCATTTGACTTTATCAAAACAAGTGATGATGAATAAAAGCAAAATGTTGTACAGTTACATCAAATTCAAAAATTTTAAGATGATGCTCCTGTGTAAGCCTCTTGTTGGATATTAGTAACATTTTTGACTAAGTGTTTTTGTTTTCAATGTCAACAATGTGTTAAAGTTCTCAGTAAACCTAATATCCCAAAAAAGACATGCACAGGAGCATCTTTTTAAAATTCTTGAATTTCATATAACTACACAACATTTTGCTTTTGTTTATCATCACTTGCCTTGATAAAGTCAAATGATGAAACACATCTGCAAGGACTAAAATTACTATTTTGGGATTGTCTATTTTATATATATTATATATATATATAAAGAAATATGTTGTAGTGGTTCCAACGAGAGAAAAGTATGTATATTGAAGAGAAGAGAGGTGCCACAAACGTTTTTTTTGGTTGTAATGTGGATTTATTTAGAAAAATATTATGCTTTGTTTTACATAATTTTACGACCGTGTTTCTGGTCTCATGACCGTCTTCAGGTAAAAGCGGAGATTTCCACATATTATTAAAATAATTAATTTTTCCTTATGTTCAATGTTAAATATTCTCGATATGAGACATTCTCTGTTTGTGTGTTGGTAATCGAATTTCTTTCTTGAATTGGCAATGAAGAGTTCTCTTGAAGGGTCATAAAACAATTAAGGTTGGTCCAGCAAGATGATGAATTAGTTATCGGCATTTTATCTTTTAATGTTTTACTGACCCCTATGTGTTCTTGGATCTGTTTCCATTTTGGTGCGTTTCTGTCAGCATGCATGTATATATGCGTGCGTATATTTCCCCTCCATACATATACTGTCTTACTACGAGGAATTTGTAAACTTATTTGTACATACATATATATATATATATATATATGTGTGTGTGTGTATATATATATACTGGTTCCATGTAGCTTGGGAAGTATGTGTGTGTGTGTGTATATATATATATATATATATATATATATATATGTGTGTGTGTGTGTACTGATTACTTGTGGTGGGATAGTGCGTATGTGTGTTTATGTACAAATAAGTTTAGAGATAATATATATATATATATATATATATATATATATATATAAAATGTCTTTATTTTGATGGGTTTTTTTGAAAAAGAAACTTAATAACATTCTAATTTTCTTAATTAGTTTTTCATACAATTTAATATTTTCTGTTTTATTAAATAATATTTATATTTTTACACATTCAAACAATTTTTTTTAGTTTTTTTTCATAGTTTTAATCTTTTTTATTAAAAAAGTTTCTATATTTATTA